TTTGATTTATACATTTCATTATTTTATGTTTGCTCTATTTGTCATCACCATTTATTTAAACCCCACTTCTTTTGACTATTCGGTAATATTTGATTAAGCAATCTGTTGACATATGTCTGTGCAGAATTTTGTTTGGGTGATCTAGGTATTAGAATATACACACTTATCTTTCCAGTATACTTAGAATAAATATTTGGCCAATTCCAATAGAATTTAGTAATTTATTATTACAAAGAGATCTTAACCCTTTCCTATTTGTGTCCAATAAATATTCCCTCGCGAAATGATATAACCTTTCTTTCAATCATTGAACATATTTTTCTAAAATTCAAGAAATGAGGAATAGCCCAATTTGTTTACTGAATAATTTTAATGCATTATGGAGTTCTGCTATGTTGCTGTGAGACTAGTTTGAAACTACTTGGCTAATGTAATCCTTCTACATCAACCTCTTGGATAGCTTGGATTGTAGCCATGTACCACCACATCTAGCATTACTCATGAAATACACATTTCCATCATAGCAAATGTGTGCTGTTTATCACATTGGTGATCCTTCTGTTTGAGGAAATTCTTTTAGTAAAATGTTCCTTCACCTGAGAGCATATTTAATACTTTCAATGAATGTAAGAATTAATTCGCCACCCTGTCTGCACTTGAAAATATTTCTTTTGGTCTCCATAATCTCTCAGTGGAAATCTACAGTCATTAAAATTATTGTTCTTCTATAAATAGTCATTGTTTTCTATTTTTAAAGATAGTTTTTTTTCCTCACCAGTTTGATTAGTGCATTGTGTTAGTTTGACCTCATGTTCTTCAATCTATAACTGACCATTTTCCCAAACTATGTGCAATTTTGGCCAATAGTTTCTCAAATAAATTTTCTTTAACTTCCATCATTTTTTCCTAGAAGAGATTCAGTGGCAAGGGAAGATTAAGTGGCAAGAGAAAAGCTCAAATATTTTCAACATAGAATTCATCTTCCTCTGGGACTTTGAGGTATGATTATTATACGTTTTAGTATTATGTTTTAGCCTCATGAGGTAAAGTTAATTTTTTCAACCTTTTTTCTCTCTGTTTTCTATTGATCCTCTTTCCATTATCTGCATTCTGTTATTGAGCACCTCCACTGAGGGCTTTCTGTTTTTCTTTTTTTAATCTCAGCTATTGTATTTCTTAAATTAGAAAAAAATTCTTTGCAATCAGGTCTCATATAGCCTGGGATGGCTTCAAACTTGCTATGTAGCTAAGGATGTGTTTGAACTTCTGCTTTTCCTGTCTTTACCTCCTGTGTACTAGAATAAGAAGCATGCACCAAAACATCTAGTCTTATAAAGTGCAGGGGAAGCAAACCCATAGCAAGGTAACACTCTAAAAACTGAGCCAGTCTTGTTGTATCTCTTGGTTCTATCATTTACCATTTCTGCATATATATTGAGATACTCACCCAGTATATTCTGTTGTTGTTGAGACACAACCTTCTCATCTATTTTAAGAGTAGCCACCTGTGTTAGTTACTCACTTTTGTATCATTGTAGTTAAAACACCTGCAAGCGAACATCTTAAATAAGGAACGACCAGTTTATTGAGGCAGAGAGCTGCAGAGACATTTCAGTATACCATTACAGGAAAGTCATGGTGACAAGAACAACTTTATCCAGGCTGGTAGGACCATGAGTTGTTAGCTTGTTTGCATGGTGGTAGAAAGGACACAAAACTCTGGCTGAAACCAGAAGTGGGTATAGCATTCAAAGGCAGCCCCTAATGACCTCATTTCTGTGATGTTCTTTTTTTAAATGAAGTTAAGAGCTGGAGTGATGGCACAGTAAGGGGTGTGCACTGCTCTTGCAGAGGACCTGGGTTCAGTTCTAAGCATTTATAAGGGCTGTCTCACAACTGCCTGTAACACCAGTTGCAGGGAATGTGACACCCTCTTTAGGCTTCTTCAGGCACCTCAATCATGAGTACTCACCCACAAACAGACACGTGCATGATAAACATAATTAAAAACAGTAACACTTCTTTAATTAATTAATTGATTGTGTGTGTGAGTGTAGGTGCCCATAGCACTCATGTGAAGGTCAGGAGACAACTCTTGGGAGTTGGTTCTCTCCTGCCATCTTGTGGAATACCAGGCTCAAGTTCAGGTCATTGTCCCTGCAGGCAAGTAGCTCTACTAACTGAGCCATCTTGCTGGCCTGACCTAATTTTATTAGTTAGGCTTCAAAACTACAAGCTGAAGACCAGACACTCAAGCCATGATCTTATGGGAGACAGTTCAGATTCAAGCAATAGCACCACCTTAATTTCTTATGGTATTTTAGTAACAGCTATTTATAATTTTTAGGCTAATAATTATAGTGTCGATGTCATCTCACCATTATATCTCGATAATCTGGATGTTCAGTAGTGTTTATTGTATTGTAGATGTTTTGAATACAATGTTACTAAACTCTGATTATTGTTTATTGCCATAAAGAATGTTTCTATTTTATCTGTGTTCATATGCAATCTCCCTGGTCCTGTTTAGTCTGCAGGTCCTTTGTGAAGGTCTCATTGTCAGTTGTGTCTCCAAGTTTCTGCCATACAGTTCAGTGTTGGGGAAGTCGTATGTCAATAAAGCACTGTTGAGCCAATAGGAATCTAGATAGGTGGGACTAGGAGTCCAGGAGGACTCTGGGAAGGAGAAACACAAGAGAGTCAAGATGTAACGCCATGGGGTAGGAAGCCCGGAAACTTTTCCGGTAAGAGACATACTTAGATTTACAATTATGGGGTAATTACTTAAGTCAGAGCTAGCCAGTAAGAAACAAGCAAGGCCAACAGCTTCATAATTAATATAGCCTCCTGTGTGTTTATTTGAGACTGATGCGGCTGTGCAACCAGGCTGGCAGGAAGTCATTCTCAAAGAAAAAGCCTCTCTTTACAGTTCAGCTCTTTCACACATGTGTACGATTCAGCGGTTGGTGTTGGACTTGTATATTGGTCTGTTTCTTTATTGGTTTATTTTCAAAGACTTTGCTATGCAGTTTCAGATGGTATCCACAGACTCATACATCTGGGATGATCCCAGCAACTCCTAATAACTTCAGACTCTTTTCCATAAACTTAAGATAAGCTCCAACTTTTCAATTCCCTGTGTCTCCCCTTATTCAGTTCTCTAGGTAGACTTAATCAGAACCCACTCTGATTAATCAGTACCTCATTATAGGGAAGTTCCTCTTGAGTAGTATCTGAGTGTCTACCACGTATTTGCTTTATTCTAGACACTTAACATACATTAACTCATGAATGTCTTTTTTAAAAACCTCTTATGAAGATAGAATTATTGGTACCATCCTTTCATTACATGCTGAGAAAGTGAGACTCGGAGTTTAAGCAATTTACCAAAAGGATGCATCTGTTATGATGTGGGCTAGGATTTGAACTCAGGTTCTCTTCATCATTACATTGGTCTGTATTACCATATGATTTCTCTGTATGAGTCCATCTTTATTTTCATATCACTTTGCACCCAATTTCATTAAAATGAATGTACAATAATTATCCTTTTAAATGAGCATCTTCTTTCACTACCTTTAGAGCAACGAGTCTCTAACTCAAATTTAAAGCATTCGTAGAGATGTAGTATTCCAGTTCCCTAAAGTTACCATAACAAATCACCACAAACTAGGTCTATTGTTTAGACAAGTCTTCCTGTATAGTACAGATTGTCTTGGAACTCATTATATAGCCTAGGCTCACTGTGAGCTTGCAGTCCTATTGCCTCAAGCTCCCAAATTCTGGGATCATAGACATGTGCTATCATGTTTACTTAAACTGCATGGCTTAAAGCAATATAAATGTTTTCTGTTGCATTTCTAGAGGCCAAAAGTCTGAAATTAAGGTATCAACAAGAGTGTACTCCACCCTGGAGATTCCTTGGGAAAATTTTCCTTTTACCTTCCAGTTTCCAATGAAGGTGGGAGCCTTTTGCTATATTTCTTAGGAGGTCCTGGCGCAACCAGCCCTGCTACTCACCAACTTTCTCCCCATCCCTTTTCCATAGTCTTCCTCCTTGAATCCAGCAACTCCAGAACAAGATATTTGCTATGAAATACTTGATTCAGCTCTTCTTTGGGCTTACCCAATTATGACATGAGTTCATTTGCCAACAGGGTAGGGCATGATCCCACCAGTTTCCCAGTCGATACTGTTTTGTTTTTTTTCCACTTAGTGTTCAGTGATGGCACCCAGCATCTGACTTTAGCTGTGGATTTCAGAACAGTAAATAGGGGATGAAGAGGAGGCCAGGCCTAAGTGACCAGGCATTGTGGTGTAGAGTAACAGAATAACATTAGTTCACCCCTTAATGCTAGATTCCATTCTCAGCGCTGTCACTTTCTGGTGCTGTCGGCTAAGTTATTACTCACAACTTGCCCTATGAGCCTTCCAGAGATCATACTGTGACCTACTGAAAAACATGCACTTGCTGAATCTATGATTTACTGAACCCTGATCGTAAGCCAAAAAGCTGAGTGGCTAGTCCCTCGTTTTGTTCATGCTACCAGGAGTTTCGAGGGTTTTGCCGTGGTTTGCTTTGTCTTATAGCTCTCTCCCTTTGAGAATGCAGCACACTTGAACGTCATCTTTTTCTTGGATCTGTTAATCAGGGTCTCCCAACCAAACCATGTTCTCAGAGCACATTCCTCTTCAAGGACTTTTCCATTACATTGTCAGTGAGTGAGGACTCTGCGTTTCCCTGAGTCAGGAATCCTTCCTGCTTCCTGAGAGTAGCATGGCTCAGACCCTCAAAGAAGGCACTTCACTGCATTCTTGATGTGTGTGCACACAAGCGGCCCAGTCTGGCAATCCCCCATCATCTCAGAAACAAGCGCTAGAAGCACTGGCCCAGCCCAACATTCGAAAATCACTCCAGATAGCTTTCATCTCCCAGGCCCAGAGGACAAACTCTTTCTCTTTGTGTTCTATTTTGACATTATTCTGGTTCTTTGTTCCCATTTTAGGGCAGTGTGAGGGGCGATGTGTATTAGCTTTTGAGGGATTTAATGAAGCAAGATTTGACAGCATTTCATATCAGGTATCATCTTTTGTGTGCATGGGGAGAAGGGATGAGAAATGTTCCTTTAGCTGGTGCCAGAAGAGAGGGAAGAGAAAAACAAAAAATCTGATAACTGGTTTTTTATCCATTAAAGTCCTGGCCCCTTTCTAAAATGCACTATTCGTCTATATTTCAAATCAGTTGGGAATCATATCTTTCCACAACAGCATTTCCTTACTTCCTGGAAACATATATCACAGGATGTATAATAAATGTTTATGCTAGCTGTAAAGAGGAAAGTAACATTTCATAAAATTTCCCATAGACCCCAAGGTGAATTTAATATAGGAGCCTGAGTGACGAATCCCAAAGCAAGTGAGTTTGGGCTTGAAGCCCATCCTGAACTGACTTCATTATGCTCAGCTGATGTTGGGGGTGGGGAGGAAAGCAAGAACAGAGTGAGCTGAGGTCTCTGCTTGATGAATTGGAATGTGACTCTCACATTAACCCTGCACTTCTCCTGTGTCTCTCCCATACCACACAGGAAGGACTGTTCATGAGCACTTGGTGACTCACTCCTCGCTATGTCACTGAAAGACAGAACAAGAAGAAACACTTGAAAACAGCCAGAGATCAATTTGCAGTGACAGTTTAACTCATACAGAACCAATTCTTCCAGGGACTCTGAGGCTATCAGGAGATGGCCTTGCTTCAATGTGTTGACTGCCATAGGACTACTTTGAAAGACTGAACCCTCTTTTGAGGCTGTTCAAAACAGGAGAGGCCAGCTGCCCAGGATCGTCAAGGCCCAATTCACCCTAGAGCAAAGCACATGGAAGAGGTCCCAAGAGGCCTCTTTGTTTGTAAGTCAGCATATTTAGCATTGGAACCAACTGATTTTCTTTTATTATTTCATTTTTTGAATTCCTGTTGGTATTCTAATGAGAGAGAGAGAGAGAGAAAGGAAGGAAAGAAGAAGGAAGGAAGGAAGGAAGGAAGGAAGGAAGGAAGGAAGGAAAGAAGGAAGATGCATTGGGACGTGGGAAGGATCTGGGAGAAGCTGGGGAAGGGGAACCATAATCAGAATATGTTGTATTAAAAAAAACTATTATCAGTAAAAAAAAGAATTTGTATTCTGTTTGTTTGTTTGATTGTTTGTTTGTTTAGTGTGTGTCCTAGTTTGCTTTTCTAGTTCTGTGATAAACAACAAGACCAAAAGCAGCTTGGAAAGAAACAGGTTTGTTTCATCTTACAGCTCGTGGACCATCGTGAAGGAACTCATACACAGCAGGATTATAGATGCAGGAACTGAAGTAGAGGCCATGGATGAATTGGATGGATGCTATTTACTGGCTTTGCCCCCCCAACCCCCCCCCTGTGGTGTGCTCAGGCTGTTTTCTTATGCAACCTAGGATCACCTACCTGTCCAGGGTTGACACAACCCACAGTGTGCTGGGTCATTCCAATCATTAGTAAAAAAATGGCCCCACAGGCCAGTCTAATGGTGGTATTTCTCAATTGAAATTCTTTTTTTCTCAGATTACCCTAGCTTGTGTCAAGTTGATGAAAATACTGACCAGAATTGTTTTTGTGTGTTCATACATGTGTACCTGTTCCCATGTATGTATGCACACACACACACATATGTCACAGCATGTATACAGAGGTCTGAGGACAACTCGGTGGAGCCAGTTTTCTCCTTCTACCATGTGGGCCTTGCATAGATCAAACTCAGATCATCAGTCTTGGCAGCAGAATTTCTTTACCTGCCGAACCATCTTGCCAGCCCCCTCAACTGCTTTGCTGGAGCCACACTGAGCAAATGAACCAGGAGGTCATTATCGTGCATTTGTTCTACCGATGGTGTTTTATGAGTGGTCAGGGGAAAGACTCTGAGGACAAGATCTGATATGAGTGATTTTCATGTGGCTTGGGACTCTGAATAACCATTGTTGGAAGCCAAATGCCTCTGACTGAGGGAACAGTAAGAGAACCCTGAGTGCAGGTCTGTGAGAAGATAGCCTGCTTGTGCCACTGTGATCTGAACACGTGAGTAAAAGCCTTGGAACTAGGCAGACTGTGGTCAAGAGCTGACGTGTCCTGTGAGTCATTCCTTCCCATTCTGCCAGCCTGGTCCCAGGAAATGCACCCCTTGCATTTCTAGCAGGGCTCAAGCAAGAGCTCCTTGGAATATCATGTCTCTGGCACAAATGCAGTCACAGTGCATGCCAAGAGGATGTTTCCAAGCAAAGCCAACATGCCAGAGCCTCCCCTCTTGTTAGTTGAGAGATAGCTGAGACTGAGTCTGTTAGAATTGTATGCTTTCTCCTCCCCCGGGCTGCTGGTAACTGGTCCAGCCCAAATGGGGCTCAAATTGATCCTGGGGAAGAGAATGAGATCTTTGAATACTTATATCACCCCAGCAACCTGTAAAAGGGCAGTTTTGTGTTTTTGAGGGTCCTTACTTAGGAGGGTTGTAAACTGAATGCTATGTGCTGAGATGGTTCAAGATGCCAGCCATTCACACTGAATGTAACTCCGACGTTTCTCTAAGACAGGAACAGTCACTCTTGTCTTTTACTGTGTCCAGAGCTCTGTAGTTCCCTGCAAAGCCCTCAGGACTAGGTTTTGATCCTAATGGAAAGCTTTTCCCTCCTAACACTTAAAAAAATCCTTCTTCAGCCTTTTCAGAGAATGACTCAATATTTTTCCTTCTCTGGTAAGTTGTACTCTGGGTTTTACACACACACATTCACACACACATAGACACACACTCACTCACTCATGAGTTTAGGGGACCCTGGTTTTTATTCTTTGACAATATCTAGTTCCAGGAATTGAGCAAGAGAAGAAAGCACTGCCTGCAGACCACGGGACCAGGAAAGAAAAACCTCCCACTCTCTCTTGAGCAGGGCTTCTGCGTGCTTTTAAGTAAGGAACCAGCACAGGCCAGCCCCGCCAATCCAATAGCCATTCAATTAAGCAACAGCAATTTCAGGGACTGTTCGTGATCCCTCAGCCAATCCTTAGGCTTGCCTTTTGCTGCTCTGAGAATTGGTGAGGCCTGCAGGGCTGCCTCAGCACAGCTCTGTGCAATCAAGATACACATACAATGCAGAGATACACTCACTTGGTCCGATTGTGCCCACTACAGAGCTAGGGAGTGAAGAAACTTAACCAGTGAATCTAAGGCTAGAAACCAGCAGAGTGCCCAAAAGGTGTATTTGGAAGTGTTAGCAACCTCTATGGTGATTGCCTTTCACACTTAGTTTTGAGAAACACTGTGCTGAAGTAACCTCCTAGGTCTTAGAGTTTCCCAAATATGCCAGGCCATGAAAACTATGCCAAGAACTTCTTAAAACAAGAACAAGGAGGGCCTATTTCTTAATTCATCTGCTACTTTCACAAAATACAACAGAGCAACAAGTTGGTGACTTGGCGTTTATTTTAGTTACATTTCAGGAGGCTGGGAAGTATAAAGGAATGGTGCATGTACCTAACAAGGGCTTTGGCCTGTTTGATTTCATAGGGAAAAGAAAGAAGGAAAGAAAAAAAGAAAGGAAGGAAGGAAGGAAGGAAAGAAGGAAGACCCCAGAAGTGGTCACATGTTAAAAAAAGGAAGCAAGAGCAAGCAGAAGTGGAAAAAAATCACTTCTGTAATAACCTGTGCCTGAGACTACTGACCTAGTCCAGCGAAAATACTGTGTGTGTTATTTCATGGCAATGAAGCCGCCATGACTCAAATAACAACTTAGGCTTCTCATCAGTTTTCAAAATTGTTACACTGGAGAACAAATTTTAACATAAATTTTGGAAGGGACAAACCATATCCAAACCATAGAAACACCCCTCAGCTGGCTAATCACAGTCTATATAGCAGAAATGGAAATGCCCCCCTGGAGAGACCAAGACATATTCTTGCTCCAAATGTGCCGGTTGTAAGAGCTGAGAATCACAACTCCAGGAAATAAGAGTGGGCACACAGGCTCTGGAGACAGATGCAGCTGAGTGTCCATCTTCATCTCGTTGTAGCTGTGGTACCTTGGGGACATTAATTAGCATCTCTGTGTCCCTTTTGCTCTGTCTATAAAAGATCTGCAAGGAGCGATTCTGACTGTAGAGTTCTTGGGAAGACTCATTGAGAAATCATATATTCGCTGTTCAGAATGATGCCTGGAACTTAGTAAGCGCCATGAAATTGTGGACTCTTACTCTCAGGAAGGGTGTGAACAGCCCTGCTTAGATTGGACCATTGACATTAGGTGAGAGGTGAAAGCTGTGTACACAGACCAGAGGAGAAGCCAGGTGCCAGGATGCAAGCCTGCCTAATATAGAGACCACAGCAGGCCTCTGGGCAAGCATCCCCCACACTGTGTTCACAGCCCTGCCAGCCTCCAAGGACCACGTAGAAGGGGGACAAGAAGCTGAATTTCTCAGCAGGAGTCAGACAGATAGACATTACTTCCTAGTGGGGAGGAAAGCTAGATGCTGTCCTTCCCTCACCCCTAGCAACCAGGCTGCCTCCCTTAATAAGAAGCTGCCCTCCCTGGTCCTGATATCTCAATCCTCCCTCCCTCCCCTTGCGCTCTGAGCTGTTGCCTCCACCACCACCACAAGGCTGCAGAACCTCCCTCACTTGCCTGGGAGAGCTGCCAGGAAGAATCGGCACAGCAGCAAGCTCCAATAATGCTAAACAATGGATTAATTACACTCCTTGCCTGTTTATCTGGAGCTCCTGGGGTCACCAGCATGTGTGGTCACAGCAGACAACAACAGGTGTGAGATGTTGGTGACTGCATCAACTACCCACAGCAGCACCCTCTGCGTCTCCCACCCCACTACACACCTTTTCTGAGCTTCTTTCAAGGCAGCAAGTCTGCCCCTCCCCCAGGAGATATGGAAAGCTTTTTGCCAATCTCTCTTTCCCTTGCTTGGGGATTTCATGCTGAGAGGACTGCTTATTTTCCCGACCCTGCTTGGAGAGCAGGGGGCCGGGCAGCTGGGGGTGGGGGCTCCTTCTTTCCAGGCAGGCATCTGGCATGGGGTAACGGCTGGGCTGGCACAATTCTGAGCCCACCTGGCAAGGCTGGGAATAGGCAAGAGCAGCTTTCCGCGTCTACAAGTGCCGGCTTTCGCAAAAGGAGGCCAGCCTCAGAGCACAAACTAATTAGGTCACGTTCTGCTTCCCGCTGCCACGTTACTTTCCACCTCCAGAAAAGCTTCACCATGAGTCTAACTAAGCCCATCAGCCCTTTCAGTCAAATGCAAATGTCTCCAGATAAAAGTCTGGTAGGCTTCTTCTGGCACCGGCAAGCGGTACCAACAGGACTCCATGAGGGACAGGAGCTGCCCAAAGAGAGGGGTAGCTTAGATAAAACTAGCATTGAAAATATGGAGCCACTTTGTGGGGTTTTGGGGGAAGTATATGGTGTGTGCACCAGAACAAGCATACAGAAGCCAGCTTAAGACTTTCTCTATTGTTCCTTAAGAGAGGTCTCTCACAGAACTTTTGGCTTGCTGGCAGGACAGTTCTTGAGACCCAGCTGTCTCCACCTCGCAATACCGAGATGACAGGCATAGTCATGTCCAGCTTTTTGCACGGATGATGACAATTTGAATACAAGCCCTCATGATTCCAGAGCAAGATATCCTCACTGAACCATCTTCTACAGCACGCCCCCCCCACACTCCTGGTTGCTTTGAAGAAGAAAACCAACCCTGGATGGACTCATAGAAGCTGTGCATTGTGAATGATCCCAGGATGTGAGGTTTAGGGCTTTGGGTCTATTTTTGACTTCTACATTAAGGGTCCCGGTGACTTGCTCCACATCGCTTCTACACTCTGAGTCAGTTTCCTCTGCATAAACTGAGCAGGTGGAACTTACCCTGTCCAGACAGGGATTCTGAAAATAATTTCAAGCCAATTTCAAATTGACAAAGAACTCTCTTATCTGGGAG